TATGCTCCAGGGAATGACTAGGTCATAACATTAATGATGTCCATAAAGGCTCGGCAAGAAGGATGTCTTGTATCATTATTCCCTTTGAGACCTCCATATTAGGACTCTGCTGCTTTCATAAACCAGTTCATTATTTTGATGAAGAGAGTACAGTTGAGATGGTACATCACATCAGGGCCATCTTTGATATCAAAATGAATATGTTCCAAAATTAATTATTCATTTTGGCAGCCATTTTGGTTGCCATCCTGAATATCCAAATAAAAGAATTATTTGATGACTTAAAGTTCTCAACCATTGAAACCTAGCCATTGACTTAAAATTCTCGACCATTGAAACCTAGACATGGTCTCTAAAATCACTTTGTAATTGTTCATTCAGCTTATATTAATGGTAACTTATTCATTTTGGCAGCCATCTTGGATTTCCACATCAAGTTATTCTTTGAAAACTAAGACAATAAAATCATTGATCCCCAAAACCCTTCCATGATCTACAAAACTACATTTTAGCTATTCTTACATTAATAGTTACATGTTCGTTTTGGCACCCATATTGGCGGCCATTTTGGTTTTGTATGAAAAGTAATTATTTGATTACTAAGACTAAAATGAAGCATAAGTGAAATCATTAACCTCTAAACCCTTTCATGATCTATAAAATTACTTTTTATCTGTTCTTTGAGCATGTATCAATACATGTACATGTAGTTACATATTCCTTTTGGCACCTATTTTATCGGCCATCTTGGATTTACATATAAGGTAATCCTTTGATGACATAGATTTAGACATGAATAAAATCCTTAGACTTGAAAACCTCTTCTAAAACTCTTCAAAGACATTTTAGCTCGTATCATTAGTTACATATTTATTTTTGAACCAAAATTGGTGGCCATCTTGGATTTTCATATGAATTTATGTTTTGATGACTTGGATTTAGGCATAAATCGAATTAGTGACCCCTAAAACCCAGAATTAGACCCTAAAATTACTGATTTTGCCTCTCAGTATGCTTAGATATAACTTCTTTCATTTGGTAGCAAGCGCACCGGCGGCCATTTTGAAAAATGGGTGATAACACCCATTAAGCTGCCACTTCTGCAATGCTATCACATATTTTCTTACTCTAGGGGTGTTCACCTTCCCAAAAATCACCATGCCCATTATTCCCCTGATTTGGTACCGACCAACCCCCCAGGCTGATCGCCTAAAGACCGAGATCTTTATAGACGTCTTAATTATATTGGCGATTTCAAATGTGTACCAATAGCGTACTTATAGTAATCAGTATTATATAGTAAATCAGTCAGTATTGTTAAAATGTTTAGTATATATTGTTTTATTTTAATCTATTTTCATCATGTCATTGGGAGTCCTTAGATAAATGTCATCGTCCAGTTATTTGTCCACAAATGCGATGAATGCTTGCCTTTAGTCCAAGTTCAATCCTCCGAATACAGGTCTCAATTATCTTGAACGTCTTTCTTCCAAGAAACTTGAATAATTTTAATTCGTAAAATATTAGCCGTGAAATTTACTCAATGTTGACAATATTTTCGTCCATTGCTGTGTGATAAAAGGACCCTTACATTTCGGGTTCTGAAAGATCATAATTGAAATGAACATTCTCACAAAAATGGTTCAAGATGAAGCCGAAATCTTTGTAAAAGCCGAAATCTTTTTAGAAGAATCACTTACTTGAGAATGAAGCAAGACAAATGATGAGAAATCACAAATCCACGAAAATAATAGCCTCGAAATTTCAGAATCGCAAAACGCGAAATATAATAGCATCAAATATAAGTTTGGTTACAGTATAGATGTTATAAAAGAGAAGCTTGCTTTGCCCACTTCCAGAATTTACTGACGATAATGCACGAAAATGAAGGTTCACTTATAAGAAGTCTGAAAATGTGTCGAGATAGGATTCCATATTTTCACAATCCTGCAGCTGATAGCTCTCACTCCCGGTGATCGTACAAAATGGATGGAGGGGGAGGGGAGTAGGCGATTTCCGAAGAAAACTCAACACATTTGGAAGATTTCTTTTTTCAAGAGAAAATTTACAACAATTGCCAAATGAATAGTTGCAGTGCATGGCAAAATATGTAAGGTCTTCTAGTATTTTTTTTAACTGATACCCTTCTAAGATATGAGAACTATTAAAAAGGCGAATCATCACCATCGTGCAAAAGTCAATGTTTTCTCGACAGAAAAGATTTTAGGATAGAAAATCCAGCCAGAATGGCAGAATGGCTGCTTTAACATTTACCAAGAACGCCCGGCCAAAGACCAATCATATCTTCAGATGAATTCCTACAGGATATTGTAGAAAAATTGACATAGACAAGCCTCGACAGACAAAACCTTCGGATGGAAACTCCAAAGTGGCCACCTTACATTGTGGGATCCACAGCCTTTACTATCCTTTTGGAATAGTTCTCTCAAAAGCGTTAGGTAAAGAGGGACTCTGATAAATCAGAATGGCCACCTTAACATTTACCCAATCAGTTGTAAGCTTTCATACGTAGAAACAACCTTAATAATTTCAGATCAATCCTTGAAACAGTTTGGCTGGAAACCTGTAGAGAAGCCTCGACAGACAAGATGTAAGACGGAAAATCCAAAATGGCCGCATTTACATCTACCCATGGCCAGAAAGCCGAAAAACTAATCATAAAACTTTCATACGTAGATCCCTGAAAATTTCAGATGAATCCCCAAAACGGTTTTGCTGGAAATGTGTAGACAAGAATCGACAGACAAGATTTTAGGACAGAAAATCCAAAATGACCGCCTTAACATTTACCCAGAACGGCCAAAATCTAATCAGTTCTAACTTTCATAAGTCAAAACATCCCTGAAAATTTCAGATGGATCCTTAAAACGGTTTGGCTAAAATCCTGCAGACAAACCTCGACAGACAAGGTTTTCGGACGATAAAATCCAGAACGCCCAAAAACTAATCACTTCTAAATTTCCATACGTAGAAACATTCCTGAACATTTTAGATGAATCCCTCGAACGGTTTGGCTGGAAATGTAGACAAGGTTAATCGAGATGCCCACCCACCCGCTGTCGATCAGTTGTGTCGATACGGCCATTCCTCTTGCAGTTAATTTATGCGTTCTTAGCCGTAGAAATTAGCACTGATTTACGCCATTAAATATTCAAATTCAGTCAAAGTGATATCATATTTGAAATTTACAGTTAAAAATACATCTTGAAATATGGTTTCGAAAATTGTTTATCAACTTTGAAATTCTATTTTTTTGAAAATGGGATTTCTAGTTCGGGGAAATTCCCCATAGAGACCATGTTATAAAATCACAAAAAGGTAAATATTTTTTCTTGTATTGGACAGATAACATTTTCTTTTACTGGATATATTTTAATTTTTACAACAATTTGATACAAAAGGGTGATATAAAAATTGAACCGTTAAAACAGATGAATATTAAGTTAAAGGGAACTTTCTCATATACCCACCATGCTATCAGACACGAACGAGCCACCTGGTGGTGAAACTGGTAACTACCTACTCGCATCTGAGTCATTAGAATACAAAAAACGTCGATAATATTCTTCAACAAATCGATAAAGGTGAGGGAAGTGTAATTTTTACAAAATATTTTGACTTTGATTTTTATATTCTACCATAACGTTTAAGTATCCACATCATTGATAATGTAAACAAAAAACTGTTCATCATGAAGATTTACTGATGATGACGATTTGTTGAAATATAGGGAATCTGGTATCTCTGGAAGTGGAGCACCTCTGTTAGTGGAACACTTTTTAGAGTCCCAAGAACAACTGATTTAATGTTAAATAGATAAACCTCTATAAGTAGAACACCTTCCAAATGGAACACGTTTTAGAGCTACCAAAGACAGGTTTTACTGTACTACTCTTTATGGCCAGATATTTAGGAAAGCACTCCGATGCCCATCAGATCACGTCTTTCTGCAAGCACCGTAAGCGTAAGAGTCTAAATCGAAAGGTAGACGAAGTTCTCTGGTACACAACAATAAGCAATACTGTCTGTAGATGAGATGGAGACATGCCTCGAGGAGGTGCATCTTATAGAAAAAAGGAAACTGAGAGAAGGCAATGAAGATACTCTCAGACAGTCCATGATCAATTTAGCAGTTTCAATAATTGATTCGATTTTCGTCTATTCAATCTTGATTTCGCAAATTCAATCTTGAATATATTGAATATATTGAAATTCAATCTTGTTCATCCTTTAATCAATATTTGAATAAATACCATGCAATAATGAAACCAACTATCACATGATTTTTATCAAATGTGTACCTATTTATTTCATTTCAATTCTGCAGTATATCAAAAGCAAAATATCAAATTCTAGACTTTAATTTTACTAAGGAACTTGAATTCAAAAGTATCGAACTTGATTTCAAAATGATCAAACTTGAATGTAAATTTATCAAATCAAGTTAGATCAAAATCAAGTTACTTTTCTACAAGTAAAAACGCTTCAAATACTATTATGCTAATTTCTGGCGTGATGACAAAAATTATAGGCTGTTATTTTACATAAAGCATGCTTACATCGATTAAAACATCACATCGACTAGTCTTGCTTATGGACTATTCCACCCTCATTTCTTGAAAAACAAATGTTCAATATTTGAAAAATCCAAAAACTGAGTAAGTAACTGCCATTGCATTCTTCCATCAATGTATTGAATATACATTTGAGCATCCGCCTGGACTGCTTGTTGTAACAATCTAAAAAGACATTTTTTATGAACAGTTCCGATCAAAAACAGACCTAGTACCCTTTTTGACTAAATGATAATGGGATGGTAATGTAATTAGGAAAGGCGGAGATGTTATAACCCGAGGCAAAAAACACAGGCGCAACGCACTTCACTAAAACAATTTGAATCTGATTTAATTAATTTATAATTCATTAACCCTTTGGGTAATTTTATTAACCAGAAAGGTAAAGCTAATAATGATGTAATTGCCAAATGCAGTAAAGGTGTATCCTGTCATATCCTGTCGAGAAATACTAATGTAAAAGGTAGGAATACTTTAGCCCTCTTAACAAAGGATCTCCGGGGATACCACTTGGAAGGTACATTGTACTTTAGTCATACCTTGGATTGAATAATCAAATACACCTAAATAAGGATAAAATATCGGATACGATTTCATGAGATAAATACAATACTTGTTATCAACCGAAAACATTGAAAATACGTTAGGATATTACACGTAAGTTCGAACATGTCATCATGGTTAAAGTCCCCGTCTAAAGTTTGAAAATATTTTTTTATCATTCATTTACTATTTGTCAGGACTTAAAAAGTGATTTTAGAGATTTTTGAACAAAAAAAAAATTTTGAAAAAAAAGTTGTGAGCATTTCATTTCTCAAATATTCAAATTTCCCGCCATTTTTCAAAAAAAGTTGAAATTTCTTAATCATCAAATATTTATTAATGCATCTTTTTAACACCAATGCAAAGGTTGAACAAAGGACACACTATTTCAATAATAAAATGCCATATTTAATGGGCCACTTCAATGTTTTAACATATCAAATATATTTCAAAACATTAGTGATGTCACTAAGGTACCAAAAACTTTTTGAAAAAAATTGAAATTTTTTTTTCGATGTCAATCTTTTCTAAATGTGTTAGACTTTCATAAAAACAAATGTTGATTGTCTTACCAGGTTAAAAGGAAGAACAAATTATGTTTTAGATATCATTGTACCATTGGTTTCTATGAGAACTAAAATTTTGAAATGCATTTTTCTCAGAACCATTTTCATGCACTGATAAGTTCATTTCTCGCTTATTTATGAACCGATTTTCTTAATTTTTTCGGCAAAAAACATGGGAGGATGAATGCTATGCATTGGTATTGTGGTTAATTAGAAGATATGAGTGACCTCTAAAAGTTGGTTTTAAATAAATTCACAAATTTTGGAACAAAAAGTCTATCAAAAACCACTTTTTGAAATTTTAAAAAAAAGTTTCACATATCACACTTTGATAACATTGGGTAAGACTACAATATAAGCAAAAGTGGTTTAAACTTTAGATGGGGCCTTTAATCAAAGGGCAATGGGGCGCGCACAATATTTGATATAGTATGTCACATTTTGTTCATGTTTTTCAGATCAGAGGTGCTTGTATTGATGATGCGTAAATAAAATCATATCCCGGAGAAATATAAAGGTATTTACAAAATGTTTACATATTTATTACTTATTGTTAGGATTTTACTAAGTTTAGATCAGCAAATTATTTCAAGTTCCATTTTTATAAACATAACTCCTAAAGTTGTCAACTCAGTTCAACATTTGGGTTTGGATGACCTAGTTTCGGCATTTATCGAGCTGTCACATTTAGAAATTAAACAAGATATAACATATTTTGATGATTTTTTTAAAAATCACTTGGAATGGATATGATATCTGTACGAGCAAGCGTAACGGTATCGGAATAGAGGATATCCTATGATTTATAGGGATAAAATTTTATCCATGAGTGGATATCGGCCATCTCCACGAGTTAGTGCTTGGGTAATATCTAGATGGATATAAGATAGAGTGGATACAAATGATAGCCCAAGAAAGTCATAGGATATCAGATTCATCTAAGGATTTCAAAATATTGCTTCGAGTATTCTAAAATTAGCACACACATAAATCAAATAAAACTACTTATAAGCATTCAAAACTCAAATATCCACTCAAACACATGGTATGTAAAATAGTTGCACGGCAACATGGAAAACAAATCATTTTAATGGTCGGAACTGTATTCTGAGGGTCAGGCAGGAAAGGCTACTATTTATCACCATTCTAGGCGCTAAACTCAAAACTAGTGAAAAAATAGTTAGTATCCTAGGATACGATTGAATTTTAAGCTTATGAAAAATAAAACAAAAAACTTTTGATAGCGTTAATAGCAAATTATTAAGTCGTCAAACCTTCAAAAACAAAGGAATTCTGACGTAGCTGCACATTTATAGGTAAACAGTTCATGGTTTAGAAGTAAGTGAAGATTAAAAATACCTCTAGTAAACATTTTGTATTTCATTTTGCAGACACAAAAGATGTTGTTCGTCTCTAGAATAACGCTGGCAGTTTTCTTACTCATCAATGGCGTAAATGCAAACGGTAAGTCGTCTAACCTGAATTTAACAGTTTTGTTTTGATTAAAATATATTCTAAAGACGTCGGAGAATTAAAGATGGTTAGAAATGACTACTGAAAATACTTCAAAAAGTAATATCCTATGTTCAAAGAAAGCCCCATTCCAAAACTGAAAAAAGGTCAAACATGTGAGTTATGAGCATAGCATTACTTTTAGGCACGGAAGGTCCGCCAGGATCAGGAGGTCCCCCCGGTACAGGTGGACCACCTGGAACAGGAGGTCCCCCTGGTACAGGTGGACCACCAGGTACAGGTGGTCCACCAGGTACCGGAGGCCCGCCTGGGACAGGAGGACCACCAGGAACAGGGGGTCCACCAGGGACAGGAGGTCCACCAGGAACTGGAGGTCCACCAGGGACAGGAGGTCCACCGGCAACCGGAGGACCACCAGGGACAGGAGGTCCACCAGGAACCGGCGGTCCACCAGGTACAGGTGGTCCACCAGGAACCGGAGGCCCGCCTGGGACAGGAGGTCCACCAGGAACAGGAGGTCCACCAGGAACAGGAGGTCCACCAGGAACAGGAGGTCCACCAGGGACAGGGGGTCCACCAGGGACGGTAGGCCCACCAGGGACAGGAGGTCCACCAGGAACGGGAGGTCCACCAGGAACAGGAGGCCCACCAGCAACAGGAGGTCCACCGGGAACAGGAGGGCCACCAGGAACAGTCGGCCCACCAGGGACAGTCGGCCCCCCAGGCACAGGTGGTCCACCAGGAACTGGTGGTCCACCAGCAACAGGGGGCCCTCCAGGAACAGGCGGTCCACCAGGAACGGGCGGTCCACCAGGAACACTTGGTACAGGAGGCCCACCAGGAACAGGGGGGCCACCAGGCACAGGGGGTCCACCTGCAACAGGCGGTCCTCCAGGAACAGGAGGTCCACCAGGTACAGGTGGTCCACCAGGAACCGGAGGTCCACCTGGGTCAGGAGGCCCACCAGGAACGGGAGGTCCACCAGGGACAGGAGGTCCACCAGGAACCGGAGGCCCACCAGGAACAGTCGGCCCGCCAGGAACAAGCGGACCAAAGGGTATTGCCGGAACTTCCGGTCCCCCAGGAATGAAGGGATCAAAGGGAGAAGCTGGAACAGGAGGACCACCAGGCACTGGCGGCCCACCTGGAACGAAGGGAATTAAAGGATCCCAGGGTATGGTTGGAGTTAAAGGATTTAAAGGCCTCAAAGGATTTAAGGGAGAGCCTGGAGCTGACTCCACATTCCTTGTCACAGTTGCACCAAGATCAAGTAAGAACAAATTTCATACGATTTATGCATTTATCTATAAATCATAAATTTATCATAATTTTATTCAAAATGTTGGTTAGAACTTTTAACTAATCAGATTCATTAACTCCCTAACTAAATTCATCTGTTACGCATAGCAAATATCAAACAAAATAATCTAAATTAATTTTCAGGATTGGTCTTCTCGATAAACATAAGATTGACACATACATATTTCATTCTAGGCAACCCATGTACTACTGCAGGTCTGTGGAAGAACCCAGCTGGAGGTAACACATGTAATACATATTACCAATGTTACTTCTCATTCAGCGGAGTTTTACAGCAAGTGAAACATTTCTGTCCTCCATATTACGTCTTCAATCCATCGGCTAGCGTTTGCGTCTTCTGCAGTCGAGGTCTAACGCGTTGTTGCAAAGGTAGGAAGGTCATGTGTTGTAAGAAAAAACGTTTGATAGCATGTTACTGTTGACAATGAATGGCATGAATGAATAACGAATCCTTACTAAAGAGAGAATCAGATATAGCGAGCAGGCTAAACAAAAAATTGTTTCAATTTTAGAATAGTTTTGGCTCGTGTCATTCCTTGTCATGTCTATTTTATAAAAATCACAAAAGTGCATACTTTATTCCAGGAAAACTAAAGATTTTTACCATAATGTATTATTTTTCTATAAGAATGGTTACCATTCTTATTATTTGGGAGAATTTAAACATTTTTCACCCATTTTTCCACTTTGAATCATTAATAACTTCACCAATTTATAACATATTGTGAATCTTTTGGGAGATATTGTATTTGAAATTGTAAGGAATAGATTGGTAGGTCAATTTTACATGTTGCTTGTAATTTTGTTACCCCCTATAGATCAGATTCTGCCTTTAATGCTAGCAAATAGCTTATACTTTATAACTGAATGGTTTATATAGTTCTTAAGTTTAAATTATCTTATTTCTGTGCCACAGGTTTAAAAACTACGTTTCAATAACATTAATAAATACTTTTATATAGTCATAGAACTGGAACTGGAACAGCTTTTCGTCACTGTCTTGTATCCTCAATTGTTCAAAGTGTTGTTTTGGTACTATGTTGATTCAAAACTCAACACAATTGAAATATTTTAATAACTTGCTTGAATTGCCACTAAATATAGGTTTATGTGGAAATAACATTATGTATCACCATCACATTAGCGTTCCTCTAATATTGCTATTTACTCTCACTTATTACAGAGGTTGATGCGATGCAAGCACAAGCACAAATTGGGGTCGAACCTGTAGATGAAGAACAGGCCCCTGCACTTCCAGGAGTAACAATTGCCTTCTCAGTCCTCGTTGTACTTTTCGTTGTCGGGGTGGCCTATACGTGCCGTATGAACCATCTAGCAAGGATGAACAAGGCATCCCGCGAGAACAATGTCGTTTTACAAACAATTACAAGATAGGACACAAAGCATACTAAGAGACTATTAATTTATCACAATATGTTATATCTATTTTTGATTCCATTGTCTTATCCAGTGTTAAATAAATAATGCCATTTAAATAGCGATTTAATGTTTTACCATTGTGAATATTGTATGGAAATGTAGGTTTGTTTCAGAAATAAAAACAAGTTGTTTTGCACGAAGTACACGAATACCACTCTTATTTATATGACATTACCCATCCCTTGTCTTGGATTTCATATAACATTGTAATTATATTTGTTGACCAGTTATAATCAACCACTCTTATTAAGTAATAGTCTCTTAGTATTTCATATAACATTGTAATTATATTTGTTTACCAGTTATAATCAACCACTCTTATTTATATCACATTAACTATCCCTTGTCTTGGATTTCATATAACATTGTAATTATATTCGTTTACCAGTTATAATCAACCACTCTTATTTATATCACATTACGTATCCATTGTCTTGGATTTCATATAACATTGTAATTATATTCGTTTACCAGTTATAATCAACCACTCTTATTTATATCACATTACCTATCCCTTGTCTTGAATTTCATATAACATTGTAATTATATTCGTTTACCAGTTATAATCAACCACTCTTATTTATATGACATTACCTACCCCTTGTCTTGGATTTCATATGACGTTGTAATTATATTCGTTTACCAGTTATAATCAACCACTCTTATTTATATGACATTACCTAGCTACCCCTTGTCTTGGATTTCATATAACATTGTAATTATATTCGTTTACCAGTTATAATCAAGTGGACAATACTTCTGTATTCTATACATGCATAATTTGTATTTAATAGTAGTCTGCTTATGTTATCACATAGAAGACAGATCCGAGAACCATTCTTTGAAGGTATAATGTATGTGTTATTCCTAAAGTTATTCACCATGATTTGATCATGAAATGAAGTCATACGCATTACATACATAAAAATAATCAAAAATAAAGATTTGAAATACATTTTACTATATTATGGATATTCAATTGCAATTATAATTTAAACATGAAGAATAACAATGTATTGTGTATAAGAGAAAATAAGGAACACCTCAATAGTAATAATTATCATATTTAAAAGAATACCTGCTAAACATTTAGACAAAATATACAAGGGTCGCCTCTAATCTATCGCCTAGTCTTGTTATGACAAATAAAAAACAAACTGACATGATAAGTACATTGATTAATCATTTTGAAGCACTACACGTTTTATTTATTTTCATTTATTAAGTGCGTTTTACTATTGCCTGTCAATTATTAAAGATATACAGTCGAAAGTACACTACATAATCTAGACATAAAGAACAGCAATTAATGGTGAGACAAAATACCAAAAACTAGTTTGGAAGGAAACAACCACATTTACTGAGGATTGGCGCAATACAATACAGACGCCTTTCAATAGGCCTATCTAGAATAATGAGTTTATAATAGTGACATAACACGGATACATTATATATGATTCTAAGTACACAATCAACAGAGTTGTTTTTGCTAATTTGGTACATTGTCACGCTATATAAGGAAATAAAAATAATTTTTGGAAGTTAGAACATCACCTATGAGCATACATATAAGAGAAACATGTTTTCACTTATTTGGTAAATTGCCAAGAAAATGGTTCTTAGAAGTAAAATCATTGCATGAAGCACTTGCAGTAAACAATTGTATCTAAAATAGAAGCGTGTACATAACAGAAACGTTGCTAATTGAAGTGCGTGATTGAAATGCGTGAAGAAGTAAAACAATAGATAGATTTTAAGCCCGGCAAGGGATGCCAGTGTATACATCTGGTATCTGTAGATAACACAATTAATAAAATCTAAAGATGAATTCTTGCACTTTAGTCGATGGCCTCTTAAAGTATTCATTCATTTAAAGCTGAAAATTCAGCTTGGCAATACAGTCGATATGGAAGGGAAGGCATGTATATGGAGAGTTTTTGTTGTAAACATCATCATCATTGCAACATGCCTCCCGATGTCACAACAGCAAATAACAAAACAAACTATTTGCGATATAAAATCGAACGCCAGACAAAATGAGATAAATGAAATTCAGCATCCTGTAAATAAGCAATACAAAACTGCCGATGAAAGAATAAACGAGAACGTTGTAGCAAAATCAAGCGATGGTGACACTAAGATTGAAGTGGGTATAAACCAAGCTCTGGCCAACACAGTTCTTCAAAAGAACACAGATAATGATAACATTAAAGATGATGACACACAAGCAAAGGAAACTGGATCTAAGCTCTCCCAATTCGACGATGTGCTTTATGCAGAGAGCGATGCCAAAAATACAACAGATACGAACGGCACTAACCACACAAGACGACATGGACATGGGATTCATCTGGTTAATATTAGATATGCGTATGTCAGAGAGCCACTGATTTTATTTGTGTTCCTCGTTCTTGTCAATCTGGCAAAAGTAGGTATGTTTGAACGAATTGTGTTTTTATACCTCTATCTGATAGCTGAATTTTCATGTGTTAAAAGGCTGTTCTTAAACCCTTGACTGTGAATCATAACGGGTGTGTAGCCTTGTACTGAATAGTGTCTAATGTTATATATAATTAATCAGAATATTATCAGATGAGCACTCCTGGCAGTTCCTTAAAAAGATTCCTGAATAGCATAGTATTCTTTGAATCGTGAGGATGCAAAACCTGTATGATTCTAAAAGCAATGAAAAACATTCTACAGAAATTATACCATTGTGATATTTGTCAGTTGTACATTTAATTTATAAAAGTTTATATTCGTCTCTTCAGATGATATCTTTATTGTGCTCTTTAATATAGGCTTTCACCATGCTGACTTCCTATCATCTTTACTACCAGAGTCCTGGTGAGTTCTTCTTTAAGTATCCCGCAATTTGGTTGAAACCAGGCAAAATGTAATATATGAACATTTTGGTTCAATATTCGAACCAAGACCGCTTGGGCATTAACTTCTCTCTCCAAATATCTGAGCCTGATCTCACAAAGGTAACAAAATATGTCTGATACTTTTGAACGAAACTTTGACAATGATGTTTAGTACTTCATCTCATTTGGATTGACTTTCACTCGACTTTTTTATATTCTAGTTACGCCTCTACTCTAATAATTATAGTTCCTTGAATTTATAGTGTTGTGTATTTATTTTTTATCTATTTATAATTTTTTTTATCATACATCGTGAATACTACTCTTTGCTCTATTATCATTTCAGTCTTTTGATTATTCTGGGAGTGCTGATTGGTGTCATATTTAGGTGAGTGTGACGTACTGGGTGTTCCATATGTTTCAGGAATGATGCTGTGTTATATTGGTTTTCTTTTCAATCTAACTGAATTTTTGACACAATGTGTCTAAACATGTTTTAAATAAGTTGGGAAAGTTTCATATCGTGAAGTTCAGTAGTCTTAATTATATGGTTGCTATAGTAACCTAGGGGTAGGGTAGGTGGAGCAGGTGTAACAACGTGCAAAATATATGAAATATTTGTAAAAATAGTTTTTTTGTACCAAGTGTGACTAAGTATTTGGTTGTCAGAGTTGGATCAAACTTGTCAGTAATTAAACAAAAATGAAGGTGGATTCCAAGAAAGTAAAAAAATGTCATCATCCTTGATCACATCACAATTTTAACAACTGTCATGTCATGAGTCACAAAGGAGAATAAACACAGGAAATTTTGGACGAGCGGCCATCTTGAAAAGTGAAAAAGTCATTAGCAAAGGAAAACCTTCTACTTGGGCAACACACAACAATCTGTGACAAGACATGACATGTGTGAATAACAGTTTTCTGCAGCAGACACAATTCAACTCCTGACGAATGCACATGGGGACTCAATAATGGTAACCTCTAGAGTGTATGAGTGGTACAAGCGGTTCAAATCTGGAAGGGAAACTGAGACCGATTATCCAAAATGTGGACATCCGAGAACAGTGAGAGCGCTAACTAATGCGGAAGGGATAGATGCTGAAATAATGATGATGGCTAATAAAGGGTGTGATAACATTTTTAATTTCCAGGAATCCACCTTTATTCTTTTTAATTTCCAACAGGTTTGATGCGACTATGACAGATTAATACTTAGAACACTTTATACAAAAACTACTATTTTCACAAAAATGTCATGTTATGCGCGTTGTTACACCTGCTCCACCTACCCTACCCCTAGGTTATTATAGCAACCATATTGTTCAGTCTACTGAGTTTCATGATATGAAACTTTTGCAACTTATTCACAACATATTTGGACACATTTTGTCAAAAGATCAGCTAGATTGAAAAAAAACAACAATAAAATACAGCATCATTCCTGAAACATATGGAACACCCTGTATATCATTACATGATATAATCACAACATACATCAAGTAAAATTTGGAAATAGAATTTTAATATTCTGATACTTACAGTAAAACTTATCCAATCCGAATACCACTGGGATCAGCCAAAAGTGTTCAGATTAGCAGGTGTTCATAATTCAATGTTTTCTTAATATTTTTTATACTGAGAGGTGTTCACAGATGCAAGTGTTACTGTACATATAATGCACCTAATTGCACGCAGCATGTACTGGGCGCATATATGTCCTTTTGGACTCTTAGACAACAGCATTGGATGTCATTACACTGAGAGGTGTTCGGATGAGAGAGGTGTTCACAGATGCAAGTGTTACTGTACATATAATGCACCTAATTGCACGCAGCATGTACTGGGCGCATATATGTCCTTATGGACTCTTAGACAACAGCATTGGATGTCATTACACTGAGAGTGTTCGGATGAGAGAGGTGTTCACAGATGCAAGTGTTACTGTACATGAAATGCACCTAATTACACGCAGCATGTACTGGGCGCATATATGTCCTTTTGGACTCTTAGACAACAGCATTGGATGTCATTACACTGAGAGGTGTTCGGATGAGAGAGGTGTTCACAGATGCAAGTGTTACTGTACATATAATGCACCTAATTGCACGCAGCATGTACTGGGCGCATATATGTCCTTTTGGACTCTTAGACAACAGCATTGGATGTCATTACACTGAGAGGTGTTCGGATGAGAGAGGTGTTCACAGATGCAAGTGTCACTGTACATATAATGCACCTAATTGCACGCAGCATGTACTGGACGCATATATGTCCTTTTGGACTCTTAGACAACAGCATTGGATGTCATTACACTGAGAGGTGTTCGGATGAGAGAGGTGTTCACAGATGCAAGTGTTACTGTACATAGAATGCACCTAATTGCACGCAGTATGTACTGGTTGCATATATGTTCTTTTGGACTCTTAGACAACAGCATTGGATGTCATTACTTTATTACCCATCGAAAGTTAGCCATTACAATAATCCCAGGGACTATACTTTTTTTCACACCCCTAAAGTATATGATATATTTCCAGGTACAACAGCAGGCTGATTGGTTTCTTCGACATCACAGACAAGGTATTCTTCCTGATCCTACTACCACCGTAAGTTTACAATTTTATGTGTTTATCTTTATTAGATATTTATTTCACAAATTATACCCAGCCAACTCTCTCTTATGAAAGCTAAATGGTCCACGGTCCATTTAAGCTTGCGCTGTACTATTCAACTGTAAAATTTGATTTCATTTTTATTGACTATTCAACGGGTACGTCTTTTGTGTGACACTGGTTTTTGATAGCTTGCAAAGTGCTATGTTATATGCTTTGTACATTCTTTAGAATAAACTACAGTTTGGTTCTATGGTCAAATAAAACCGTTTCAAAACATAGCTTCCCTCTTATTGTGCTTCATATGCAAGTTTCTTCATGACCTCATTGATGAGCGTTGGGAAATGTTCTTTTTGAACAATCAACGGTCCATAATTTGAAATGTTTTATTTTATTTCAGTATTATCTTGGAGGCGGCATACAGCTTATACAACCGTGAATTCGTCGACAATGTTGGGACAATCCTACTATATGCAGTTGTGGTGAGTAATTAAGTATACTTTAGAATACCCAACAATTTGTTTCGCGTTTTGTTTTTCGCAATTTGTAATGCTCGCATCCAGAAGTTTGATTCAGGGCATGGGATCTGTTGAACAGATGCCTCTTGTTTACGTTATATAAGTTTATAAAAACGGTGATATAAATTGTGTAAAAGCAACAAATATAATTCATGCTCATGTTAAATCATATTAGTATAGGCCCAATGTTAATGTTATTAACGGTCATTGAACAACTAGTCTTCATTATTTAAGACTTTTATAAAAACTATAAGCTAAATAAATAGCCTTATGTTTTATATTATCATTTCTGCTTTCAGGGCACAATCATCAACTGTTTCGTGATTGGACCCTGTTTATTCGGACTTGCCAAAGCTGGAGCAATGGGCAGCATAGACATTAGCTTGCTTCACTGCCTGGTCTTTTCGGGTTTTATTGTTGCTGTTGATCCAGTGGCGGTAAGCATATTAACCAAACGTTTTCGTCAAACCTGTACATTTATGTATGATTCTCTGTCCCATACCGCATATGTTCTGGTTTAATACACCATATGTCAAACTGGCAATGATGTTGCAAATACATGTATTTCACAACTATGTTTTTCTGCTCTCCAAATGATGTTATTTGCATTTTCATTTGTTTTATACCAAAAATATTAAATTTTTTTTATTTGATATGTTAATGTCTATGATAATGATCTTTTTAGAATATTATATCATTTCATTCTGATAATCTTTCAAATTCAGACAATTTATCACTGTCGATTACAGTTTGATTTGGCCACAAAACAGCTTAGACATTAGTTTTCATTTATTCTGAGTGATATACTGTCAAGGCTGAATATGATCTGAAATCGACTGTGCATTTTACTATTCTAGGTTCTCTCCATATTCCAAGAGATCGGGGTAAACGATTCGCTGTACATACTAGTTTTTGGCGAATCCCTTCTCAATGGTAAGTAGGCAATTATGCGCTCATTAATATTTTAAGCTAAATGTACACTAGACTACATGCACACTATACTCGGTGAATTATGATTACTATGGTTGGCCTATTAGTATAAAGAATGCATGCGTTGTTTACGGGTGTGTGGGCGTTAATTACGCTCGTGTAGATGTAAAATTACGCCCGTGCTGACGAAAAATTACGCCTGTGTAGGCGTAAATTACGCCCGTGAAGAAGTAAATTCTACGGGCGTTCAGAATACATTTACAGGAGTGAACTTACGGCGTTAAAATTATTAATTACGGGCGTTTAGACTGTTATTTTACACGCGCTGAGAAACATCTTCGCGCCCGTGGAGTTTATTTTTAGCGCCGTAAATTATGAACCAATCAGAACCTTACTTACATGATGATTTAATGCATCCTTGCTAAAAGAGCAACTCTGAGATACTTGCGCTAGTAAACAACAATCAGAAGCCTGCTTACATTTTAGTGTATTGCATTGAGGTCCTTAAATATTCGTTCAAGATTGAACTAGATTTAACCAAAGAAGTATTCATTTTTTAGAGCAAATTATATTAAAAGGCAAATTGAAGAGACATGTACTGTGTTGGCAGTTATCAACACCCATTGTAGAAACGACAAAATTGCAGAGTATTTTGAGAAGGTATACATGTTTGGTTTCTAAATACGATGATTTTTGGATAATTCTCCAATCTAGGCGTCGGCTTCAGAGGTAGGCTAGGTAGGGACTTATTAAGCTCACACGCATTGCAGCTTACAGTCTCATTATACAGTCAGATCGCTAATGTATCCCTCTAAAGGATGTGTCCAGATACTAGAATTATAGTATCTGATCAACTGCAAATTGACTCTAGACTATATCCTGCAGATCTGGCATTCTTTATATGTCACATGTTATTTCCAGGAATACATAACTCATTTAATATACGATGTAAATCTTTCACATTTGCACAAATAGTGCACCGAGATACCCAGAAAAGAAATAATATTTCATATGCCTCCAATTGCAACAGTTGTTCCTGGCACAATCATGAGTATGTTATTAACTTGCACAAGGATCTTGGAGTTGTACTTTTAGCTATAATGCATCGTATCATCATGTAAGCAAGATGCTGATTGGTTCATAATTCACGGCGCTAAAATGAACTCGACGGGCGTGAAGATGTTTCTCAGCGCGTGTAAAATAACTGTCTTAACGCCCGTAATTAATAATTTTAACGCCGTAAGTTCACGCCTGTAAATGTATTCTGAACGCCCGTAGAATTTACTTCTTCACGGGCGTAATTTACGCCTACACAGGCGTAATTTTTCGTCAGCACGGGCGTAATTTTACATCTACACGAGCGTAATTAACGCCTACACACCCGTAAACAACGCATGCATTCTTTATACTAATAGGCCAACCATAGATTGCTGAACTTTACACCTTGCTCATTCTGCACATTCTGATACTCATAGCATCTTTCACCATCTCAGGACTGAGAAGGAATGAGATGGCATGGTTTATCATGATGAATCTGCAGGCTAAGTGGACATTTTTAATTTCCTTATAGATGGCGTTACTGTTGTTCTGTACAACACTATGCAAGCTCTGGCAAACATGGAAACAATACCCATTGGACAGGTAAAAACTCCATTAATTTCGACCACTGCAGCTATTCATGGACTTACAGTTGATCAACTCTGTCAGGGCTTCTCTGCTTATGACTTCAGGATACACACATACGCATGTCCGACTCTCTTCATCCAAGTATCAGGGCATATCATTTTCTATTTTAATCTTTATCTACTTGGTCAACCTTTTACAATGGATTGAAACTCACACTTTAAAATCTAAAATGATCTTACCCTACATGTATATATTTCTTTGATATTTATTTTATTTTAGTATTTTCTTGCGATATTGTCTTTCTTGACGATTGCATTAGGAGGAACGCTTGTTGGAGTGTTCTTTGGGGTTCTTACAGCCCTTATCACACGTATTACTAAACATGTTAGAGGTAACTCGGGGGCTTAATTATCCCATCAACTAGATCACTTACATAAGCTCATAGTATATTAATGTTCCGTATAAGCAGCTATTTTCTTCACATTGTCGTTGATTATTACAGATTATAAAAACTATTTATAGAGCAAATAAACACTTATAACTGCCACTTGTAAACAAGTAATATACTCTATTTTGTACATTGGTGTTTAAAATGCTTGATATTATTTTTCGAAACAGATGCAAAATATATAAGCACAGGTGGCAAAATAGAAAAATCTTAGAAAGTTAGAAAAAGGGCATCGAAAAGCAAATACACCCGGTAATAGGAAAACAAACTACTAGTATTCAGATTAAGAATTACATCTCTTGGCTAGACCTTTTATTCTTTTGCAGTGGTGGAACCGTTTTTCGTTCTTGGATTGGGTTATCTATCGTACCTTACAGCTGAGCTTTTCCACTGGTCTGGCATACTCAGGTAGGCCCAGTTCAGTCGGGTTCTTTTTTAGGCTTTCAAAATTGGCCTCTGTTATGTGTTCAGCTCATGAAACGTGTTTTATATGAAATAAAGGTGAAATATGGTAATTTTTTCACGTTACTATCTTCGACTTGTAGACTAGGAGTGGTGACTGAATATAAAACATTGAAGACTAAATGTTCTGATTGTATATTTCAGTGCTGTTGGGTGTGGACTTGTCCAGGCACACTATACAAGGCATAATATCTCCAAAAAGTCATACACAACAGTCGTGTATTTTATTAAAATGCTTAGGTATTTCTAAACTTGATATTTGTCTCTTTCAACACATGCATACATTCCTACATTTGCTCATTAGATTTTCCAGTACAGTACAGTACAGTACAGTACGGAATGTTGCAATGAAGAAACAGAATATCCACCAAAGCTCATTTAAAAATGCAGGGTTAACTCAAAACAATAAACAGAAACGCAAAACGCGAAAATGAAAGTATTCGTATTTATTGAACGACCTTCGTATGTTTAACAGTGTCAATAACGAAGCTGTCATCTTCATGATTCTTGGTGTGGATCTGGTCACCGAGGAGCTTGGTTGGCACACCGGTTTCGTTCTATGGACGCTCGCTCTTTGTCTGATCGTCAGATTCATAGGTTAGTAGCTCATATCCAATGTCAGCCTTGTTTTGAATTAATTGTAAGAGTGTAAAATTAACGATAAATGGCCGATGCAGAAAACCTTAAATGATAAAGAAACACTAAGCAGATGATAAATCAAGATACAGAGCATGCTTAATGCTCACAGTTGCCTGGTCTGTGTTATGGTAACGAACTAAGTTAGCCAGCATTCGCGAATTCAGCCACCGGGTGTCGGCTAACGGATAAACCGCTATTTAAATATGAATAATAGCAGGTTCTATTCATGTTTAAATGAGTTGGCCATGAAATTCCGTCAGTTTAATTCGCGAATGCTTAAAGTCGTTATGGCTTCGACCAGTGCCACAACCATTCGATATTTTTTCAATTACTTCATACCACAACTCTAAAATCTGTAACCAATTACCTGTTAACAAATTTCGCCTCAACCCGAATGTGAGGGACGTAATCTATCTATATTTTAACTATCTATTCTTGATTTCAGTTGTATATGGCCTTACCTTTCTTGCAAACAAACACCCAGATAGAATACGAAAGATCAATAGGGAGGAGCAATTCATTATGGTAAAGATGAAGTTAAATGAATCCTTTTTAAAATGGAACTTGTTTAATGTCCAGTGGAGTCTTTCGAGCTTCACATGCCATATACAAAGGAGGAGGGAAAGTACCGCAAAAGATTTCGAACAGTCATATGGATTTTGGCTATTTTCTAAGGATTAAACAGGTACATATGTTAAACCAATGCATTACCTCCAGGAAAAGCACTCCTAGAGATGATAAAATAATTTCGACTTTGAGACAGGGAAGATGCAAACAACCCACCCACAACTTTTTTCTGAAATGTTTTCCTGATTTTACAACCCTTCCACCCCTGCTTTTTTAATTTTTCTTGATTCAATATGTTGTATTTTGACACACAGTTTAAAGGAATAAGTGATTCATTTTAGATGAAATGGAAAACAATATTTTCCATAGGGAAAACTCATGCAATCCATTGTTTTCAGCTAATTTTGATCACCCATAATGAATATCTTTAAATCACTTATTCCTTTAAAGGGGTTATGTCAAAACACAAAATATTGATGCAAGAAAAATTAAAAAGCAGGGGTGGAAGGGGTTGAAAATCAAGAAAACATTTCATAAAAAACATGTGGGTGAGTTGTTTGCATCTTCTCCGTCTCAAAGTCGAAATTATTTTATCATCCCTAGTAGTGGTTTTCCTGGAGGTAATGCATTTGTCTAACATATGCACCTGTTTAAATCCTCAGAAAATAGCCAAAATCCAACGTATGACTGTCCGAAATCTGTTGCGATACTTTCCCCCCCTCCTTTAAACTGAAATAAGAGAAACAGGCTCTCATTTCTGAATTTCGAATACGGTATGAAATCTGTGGAGTTTTAGAAAAGGGGTATAAAGAAGGATTGATGATACGAGGCCGTACTGAAAAAGATTTGTCAAAGTTGTTCTGTTTCAATTTCAACTTCTTGCGTAGGCTATAATATCTAATAAATATTATATCTAATTTTTATGATTTTTTATTACTTTATACATAAAATTATATATCTTGTCATAGTATTCAAAATATTATAAAGATTACAAAGACTAAGTAGATCCCAACATTTAGGCCTTGTAACCTTTTCAGATGTCATAACAGCTTGTTATAACTCGTATATGAAATCACATTTTCAGGCATACGGTGGTCTAAGGGGTGCGATAGCATTCGCATTAGGCGCCACTCTCGAAGATGACACCGTCAGGCCACACAAGAGAATGTTCGTGACAGCAACACAGGCGGTCATCATCTTCACTGTATTCGTGCAGGTAGTTAAACAGAGTGACCATTTACAATATTAATTATTTAATTAACGTAAGTCATGACTGGGGAAGGACCAAATAACATTACAAGATACAACAAGAAAAAGAATGAATCAGGAAGGGAAAAAAACAATCAACAATATCCCAAACTACTTGTAAAATTGAATAAACATAAATACAATAAGGTCGAACGCGCATCGAAACAATATCTAACCCCTCACCCCCCCTCTTGCATTTAGGGTGTGACAATAAAGCCAATGGTGAAACTGTTAAGAATCAGGACCAGGGAGACAGGGGTTGAAAGTACAACTCTCATTGAAGAGACGAATATTCACGTAAGTCGAACGATTCAAATATGTAATTACAGGTTTCACAGAGGGAACAAATCCGCAATATCCCAATTTTTTATTCTTATTTTATTTCGGATGAAAAAATGTCCACATTTTTATGAATCCAAAGTCACGACACCTTGGTGGGTGTTTGACCCCATTTAAAATAAAATAAACATGTATCAAGTGCTCATCACCTCATATCAAGAAGCATTTTGAAAATCAGAACTGTATTTTCCTTTAGGTATTTGACCACATTAACCAGGGAGTAGAGGCAATCTCAGGGAGACATGGTGAAAATTACGTTAGGGTATGATTCTTTTCACCTTTTATGCATCACCCGACAGCCTTTGTTTGGCAAAATGGGTTATGATTTTCGAACGCAAACGAAGATGTTGTACCACAACCGAAGATGTTTCAAGGAATTTGATTGGTTCAAAAGTACCACGTGAAACGAATATTTTAGATTGCGGCGCATCGGTGCTCTTCTTTTTGAAAATATTAACAACAAGCAAGACATCTCAATGAATCACCTTTTGAAAAAGTTCACACTACTGTGCATGATGTTTATAGACCTACTAATTTTATCAATTTTAATTTACATTTTAGGAGTGGCTGTTGCATATCGACCAAAAGTACTTCCAGAAATGGCTGTGTGGAACCTCACATTCCAAACTGAACTATCTCGTTCAGATTTACAAAGAAACCATGTTAAGGTAAGAAAAAAGACATATGGTGTATATCTGAATAAATTTCTCAATATTTCACAAATTTTTAGGAATTTAGTCATAGAGCTGGTATATTATATCACAAAAAGACGCAATGACATCCGTGTTCTCGCAATCCATTTATTAACTTCAATGTATTTAAAACAGACCACAAAATGCAAAATTCGGAATCCCAAAATATGATGCTATTGTTGGCCGAGAGCACGAAAATGCAAACCAATTATAAACTGTGTCGGTAAAACTACCAATATAAGAAACAGTAATCAAATTATCAAAATGGCAAATCAATACCTTACTTTGAACTGTTTCAGGCAACATCTTAGTAATCTTTGGCAACCAGGAAACAAGGATGAATTAAGAGAATCGGGGTAAGTAACGCACGTGGCATTTATGCCCCGATCGTTTGGCATCACCAGTGCTTTCGACATTCTAAACGAATTCTGTATTAAGATATGGGTACACATTCCGATCTGTAAACCACTTAATTTTCAGTATGATTGTTCCATTTATTATACAGGGAACCCATTGACAATGGAGAGTTAAGACAAGCTCTGGTGGACCTAGAGAGAAAACAATCTGGCAGGGCATCTATCGTGAATGTTGATACGGATCCTAATAGATTTGAGCTTGGCGCAAGGGAATCGAACGGAAATGGTTTGTTCAACTTTATAAAGAACAATATGTTTGTATATACCCTGCGCACAGAGTCTAGATATAAACTAATGAATACGAAACTCTCTTTTAACAGCGAAGTCGAACGAATGCAAAGGGTAGTTCGTATACTAAGTAAAGTGAAATTTATGGCTATCTAATCATAACTCACAAAATGTAACATCAGGAAAACACAAACCAATTCTCTGTCTTGTTATTACTCCTTTGCTTCCAGTTTCAGTTATAATCGATGGTAAGAGAGGATCCGAGGAGGTAACACCCCAACACCTACACACGATGTTCCATAATTCTACATCTTCGGTAAGAACAATTCTAAAAATATTATATGCTAATTTTCAAACAACAGTTTCCTTTCGCCTATGCGAACCTGTAAGTTGACAAGAGAGAAGGACAAAATTTCTCTCTCGTTTGGGGAAAAGAACATCGATCGTTCTTTCCCGAAATAATGTTTTTGGATATCCCCATTTCCACTTGATGATTGGCCCGTAATTGTTGCTTTACAGGACCGTCATAGACGAGAAAGTAGAAACCTGTTGTCTGATGGTGCAGATGAGGAGACAACTGCTGAACTGGTAGGCAAACTAAATGACCTTAGGCAAAGGTTTGGTTCACGTTCGGGACAATCATCGCCGCTTTCTCGCTCAAGAGGCAGTAGCTCACCAATGAGCAACCCCAGGCATCGATCTACCTCCCTTGAACACAACGTACCGTTTGAGGGAAGGAGGACAGGGGATGAGGGAGTGAACGCAAGCGAAAGAAGATCACGACATCGTCATATTTCTGCTCCAGCAGCTCCGGAGAGATTACCAACAATTCAAAGTGGGGTTTACTTACAAACAAATCCGGCAGGTCAAGAAATTCCAAGTATTGTTGAAAATGCGCCAATGGAACACTTCGGAGATTCTAACAAAACAAGAAAGAAAACCGAATTTGAAGAAGTGACTGAACTTTAAAGTACCATCTTACATATTTATAGGCTGAACTTGCACTACCATACAGTATTTGATTTTGGAATCATACAAAATCCATATTCGCCGAGGAACCACGGAGTTTTTACATGAGCAACTGAGAGAAATTAAAAAAGTATATTTGACAATATTTTAAGTATTTGCAACCAGTAGAAACAAATTGCTCCATTCATATATATATATTATCTATTCTTCTGATTATAGATGGCATTATTGAATAAAACCCATATATTGTATGGATTTCGCTGACAAAACAATGTTTTTTTGTAATAGAACATTTTCGTTTGTTGTCAATAAATCAGGGGATACGTATGCGTACTAACTTAACTTGACATGGGCATCACTTGTAAACTCATGTTAAATTATAAGACTATGGTTGTTATTGCTATGTAGTATTATACATATTTACAGTATTGCCTTCGTATGAAATATTAAGAAATATATAGATTATATAAAGATGGAGCACGTATCGTTGATTGTAAAATTTAACACATCCACGCATATGTTCATATAAACATCAACATATTAATTACCAGAATAGGTAAGACTAGAAACACAGAATATCAAACCCTGATAGACCATAGACTAAAATACGTAATTTAACAAAACAAATCGCAATGCAAAACAGCAACTATGGTTGTATGTCTAAACAATTATTCAGATAATATACATATGCATGTAATATAGTAAAATACTTGGTATTGCCATTTATACATATAAAGTATAATTTCCTCTATCAAGAAATGTAATATTTTTATAGGGTAGTATATCGGTATATGTATTTCTCATTTAATTTCTAAACTTCAAACAGCTGTCATTGGTGACCCATCCTCCTAGCGCTTCTTGATGGACCTTGCACACCATTTTGAAATTATAATGGCTTCGTATTATTGCATAGAGAAAGTGGGAGGAACAAATTGATTGACCCCTAAAGCACAAACCCTATAATTTCACAATGATATTTCATCCAATTAATACCCGATGACTGTTTTATTGTAAGTCAAAGAGAAAACTGCACATAAATTGAGAAACGAGCCTATATTTTCAATAGGCGTGTTGTTGGGGCAACAATTAAGGACACTTTAATGAATGATTATTAAGAACGCTGTTACCGTTTTAACTATTTACTATTGAGATTTAATCGAGCATATTTAGTGGTATTGAAACACTTGGCTGATTCTTTTCCATTTCTCCCCAGCTGAGTATCAAAATATGTGACGTTCATCTTTTACTTATTCTATTCTGAACGTTCTTTTTTGATTTTGTGTCGTATAATTATAAATACCTCAGAGGGTGGCATTTGCCGTTTGATATTTTGCGACTGTACACCACACGTATAAAGAATCCAAAACATGCATTAATTTGTTTGTATACTTTTAATATAGATAAATGAAAATAAACCATATTATATATAATGTTTCTCCATTTTCTTTTTTCTTCTAGACATCATTGAAATCGAAATTAATTCCATAGCATATCCGTAGTGACAATGAGAAATTGCTCTGACACTTTAGCAATCATATTTCTTTTGAGCTAACACGCTCTACTTTGAAGTACGAAATCATTTTGTCAGACGTAAATATCATTTGGTACAATATGATAAAATTATCTAGGAATTTTTTTAATTTGTAAATCAAATATGTTGCGGAAGGATAAATTAGTTGGGTAACCGGTACTATAATGGTTAATCTCGTCACAATGTATTCATACGCACATAAATCAAAATTAAGCAAATAGACATTGCAATTGGCTCTAGAATGTAACAAAACTACTTGTTTTAAACACCTCTGTGCAATTAATTCCTGTAAATAGAGAGACGGTGATTTATATGGTAAATGAGGAAAGGGTAACGTTAGAAATTATTGATATTGATAGCGTTTAATCAAGAGAGCTCTCTATTACCATGGTGCCTCATAAGATCGCTTACAGCTATCTCGAACTTATCTAATTACCGTCGATATTAGAATCACATTTATCACACGTGGCGGAGAGGAAAAACTAGTATGAGATAACAATAATAACATAATACTATTGATAATCTGCCTCGATTTGTAAACCATTCAGGTAACTAAACGTGTTTTGTTATATATCATAGTATTTTCTATTGTACTCTTGCCATAGATGAACAGTTTATGGCGTAATTATAGCCGATCCAAAAAATGTGTAGGTGAGGCGAATCTAAAAAGGCGAGGCAAAAAAGAGGCTATTGATATGTATAGTCAGGTTAATATGTGGAAAATCCATTCATGTAACAAAAATGTCACCAAATATAGTCCCCATATTATAAAGTCCGAAAACAAGCATGTTGACAACACGCGGCCAACGTTCATTCTTGCATATATCGCCTTCATTGCTTTCGGGGTCTTCATGAACTTATTATATAACAATTTCAACAGTTTCAATCATAGAAAAAACGTTAAAAATTATCCTAATTATTCGAAAAACGCAAAATAAAATCAAAACTAGTTCACAAAACAAAACATGAATAAAATGCACATACAAATGGTATCATGCGTATAATTACACTAACCACTACATCCAATGTCTGTAAAAATAAGTCTTCAATTTACTTGGCCTAACTTTATAGGCTGCTTATTTGTAAATGTAAATGTAAATAGTTGTCCATCTGTTTTCTGAAAGCGAAATTGTGAGTCATAACACATTGGTTTGTTTTTACATTTCATTAGATTTGAACTGGATTAGAATTTAAATATGAGGCGATTGACTGTAAGAAATGAACTCTTATAATTTAATTATCATTTATAAACGACTATCCAATGTGTTTGGTAATCTATTAAATGATATCTTGCTCAAATCATAGTGATATCTCCATTTCACTTTGATTCATTATATGACCAGTAATTAAATTAGGGTCTTAATGAAACCTCCTTCTACTATATTTGTCTTATGAAGATTAATGCTAAAGGACACGGGAGCAGAGGTTCCATAGTCGAACCATGTGATGTTACAAAGTTAGAAGGTATTTGATGCATAAACAAGAAGAAAGAGAATGGCGAGGAGGGGGTGACTGACGGTCATATCTAGGTAAAAGGATGGGGGGGGGTCTAGGCAAATGAGGGAGAGCTGCCAATTGAGCTAGTGTCTCCTTTGGGAGACAATGGGAAATAGATGTGGCTAATTGACTGTGGCGTCGTCTCATCTTAACTAACGCATCTTATAAAGAAACACGGATTGCAACATTAGATAACACATTAATGAAGCAAAAATCAATTTACAAAAACAGAAATCCCAGAAAGAATAAAAAGTATTTTTGCTGTGAAGGCTATTGTTACAAAAACGCAGGTACTCATGCATCTCACAAACAACAATCGAAATAGCAGATAGCTCATCAACTTTAGTCCGAGGAAGAATAAAAAGTATTTTTCTGTGAACGCAGAAAGGTCCTCATGCATCTCACAAAAAATCCAAATAGCACATCAACTTTTTCGCATATATTTACCGTCCTCAATAAATAGTAATTAATGACTTTTGGAAAAATGAATCTAATGCCAAGTGTGATCAGAACCCATAGAATATCACGGGAAGGTTGACCCATAATTCATACCAAGTTCAAATTATGAATGAAAGTACAATTATCATGTGACAAGGTCCATTATCACTAACCTATACACCCCCAAATATTTCCTACTTTCTAATTACCCTTTATTCTTAAATTCTCGATTATTTCTTGGGGAAATAATTAATAATTATTTGTCATATCTTAGATTGCTACAGATGAAAGTGAAATTAAAATGTCAGGGTTGTATTTGTTGGACAGGTATGACAATAGATCGGAATATGTCTTGAGATTTCCATAGATACGTTAAAACCTCTCAAAACAAACCTATTAAACCCCATAATGTCCAATAGATTTCATTTCAACACTTTGTAAAAACGCGTCAATGCAGAATAAAAGTCACCTCTTAATGTTTTGTATTCAAAGTGTCAAAATCAGCTCTTGAAATGTTTTGAATATCATTACAATTGAACAAACTTGAACAAACCTGCTCTATAGTGATGTTAATTGAATCAATGTAGCTGCTAAGGATTTCTATGGGAGCAAAACAGGGCCATGTTAATATTTCATATACTTCAATATTCAGAGAACATCAGAGCATTCTCTGGGTTTTGTCATTAAAATATGTTTTCAAAATTTTCATGTTTTCGTTCACTTCAAAGACGCAGGCCCGCGTTTCGTATGCAAAATTGGTCATAATTGACAGTTATTAAATCTTTTCATTCCCCAGTGCTATGAAAAAATATATGAAGTATATTACGTTATGCCTAGAATGACACTTTATGCTTGCGAACGTAAATACAGCCTAATATGTGCATATTATGGATAAATGTTTTACAGTAAACCCTGATCGATGGAACACCTTTCTGTAAGGAACACCTCTAGCTCTATATATTGGACAGTTTAGAAGAACAAGGTCCCGTTGACTTACATGTTAACGGACCCTCTCTGGAAGGAACACAGCTCTCTACAAAGAACAATCTTGCTCAGTAGTGAGGGTGTTCCATATTTACAGGTTTAACTGTATGACACGGAAAGTTCTGCCTTCCGTTAGCAGTAACAGTTATACAAAATCGAAACGTTCTGTATTGCATTGTATTGCCATGAAACGTTGTGTGTTTTTGTCAAACTCTCACTTTCTGATGCCCATAATGAAGACGTTAATTAAAAGTCTTTCAAATGACTGTAGGTCTCACGAGTACAATTATTATGGCGGCTTTATGGATGAAACCAAACTCCTACCGCTTCAATATTGTTACAATTGGTTACTGATAATATACAACAATCCCCGTCAATGATCTATTAATATATTTAATTATCTACTAGTCTAATTGGAAACAATGTTTTCTGATACACTTCTGAACAATCACAATGGTAGGGATCGTATTGAAAGTAATATATCTCATTCTCAGTGGCGTAACATTCAATCCTTTGATGTTACATACATGTATATGACATGGGTTTACCTTGAACGCTTTTGGCTCTTTTGGGATATTGGGGAGTTGGTAACTATTAAAACTATAACAGTATTTATGTCATTTTTCATACAGAAACAGATGTATAATAGTTCAGCGGATCTATGGTTAATTGGTTTCATTAGTTCAGAAATGATTAATTACGATTTTTAACTCCTAATAAAACAACAAATGTACTACACTGAACTAAAATGCATAATTATGATATAACCCCTAAGATTGGGTGCCAGATCGTCATTTTTATCAGACACATTGTAATTTGCATGCTGTATCGTCTTAATCCTAAATCAGGAAATTTGATTGGCTATTAAATATATTGAGATAAATCTATATGTCAAATCCAATAGCCTCAATCGTGTTCAAATCTTGATTAAAGTATTGTGGTAGGCTTTAAAAGCAATATCATTAAAATAATGATTAAAATGATGATATCACAAGTTAATATTTTCTCGTTATTGCATTGATTCAGGATTGAACCAGATAACAAATGGTAATAACGTGGTATATTATCAAGATTTTAATTATGTCACTATTATACGGAAGAGATTCCCATCCTTACTACACAATGTTATGAATAAACAAGCGAGGGAAAAACGTAAAATCAGACAATTAAAGAATGCATAATTTCTTCATTATATGTCACTTTGAATTCTACTTTTCCGTTCTTATTGATTTTATGTTGCGTTTCTTCGTTTAAAATAAGGATGCAAGTATATGCAAGATTAAAATAAACGTATTAAAAATTATAGAAGAAGACGACATCGGAGTCAAAAACATTGTTTCTGGGAATCAAGCCATAACATCCCTGACCCGATGTATGATCAAACCAACATATATTTACAGTTAAGAACTATTCCAACCCCCTCCTCACCATCTAATAAACGCATTTAGTTGCATTCTGAATAACAAAAACAAAGATTTATTTGCTGTCTTTAATATATGTACATATAGCACATATACAATGAATAATGTCGCTTATTTGTTCCATATTAGCTACTATGAATTAAGAAATCAAAGGTGAGTAACATGGTGTTATTGTCAAATGAGCAACAACATTGAGCAAATTGTGACTAAGAGGCCAAAGTACCAATACAAAGGGGAACCTGGAATGATCATGAATGGTGCATCGTGCACGCCTTAAATGCGTTGCCATAAGCTAAATCAAGTTGCCATGGTGATTTAAGTCAAAATTAAAGAATATTGAGTTTTTATTAATCGGTAATTATTAGAGCCTCATTTGGCACTAATTAAAGGTGTTCCTTTGACTTCAATTCAAAGACTTTGTTATTTATTCTACAGGTATTGAGATACAGAGTTCAGCAACACACGCCTGCATTGCTGGAGACATGTTCAGAATGAAATGGAAATTGTACATTAGAATATGAATTCGCTTAACAAATATAGCTGTTTATACAATTAAAACTCAGCATAATACACGAATTCACCCAAGCTGTTGTGAAGGTCATTATTGTCTCATTTTTATTTTTCATTTCATAATTATGATCATTATATGCTTCTTATCCAATCATAGTAAGACATTTATCTATTTTGCTCCGCCTTCAACGGTTCGCCTCCTTTTCGCTTCGTAATCCATGGCCACATTCTATATATGAGAATAACCTTACGATTGGACCAGGGTGTACCTTTTGGTATAGTCCTCGTATCTGAAAGGAATAATTCAGGAAATACTCACCATAGCGTACATACATGAAGCAACCCAGATTTATAATGCATAATTCTTTCCAGATAAATCTAACAGAGCGTTTGTTTTGTTATTCTTACCAGCTAATTTCAACATGATGATTATGTTTAACATCTTGACTTATTGCAGTAGTTCATATAAAACTATTGCTAACATTTTTAATTATTTATTGAATTGCAATAAATGATCATGAAAAATGATGTAAAGAAGGAATTTTCCAAGACTGTATCATATGACATGCTTATGTGATACAAAACAGAATGAAAAATATATGAAAATAATTAAAGAAAATAACAGTACTAAACAGATGGAGGTGAATTCCAAATGCAAACACGCAATAGTTTACGCTGCATATTCCAGGATACAAATTAATTGAAATATGTTTTGTTTACATAAAAAGGGAATGTCATATCGACATATAGAATATAGGAATCAATTGATCATTTCAATTTATATAATTTAGTCTGTTGGCAATACTAATTTGTTTTCCAAATGCATCGTAAATCTAAATGTTTATCATTAATATTCAGTATATATAATATCTTGAACTAGCTAAGGGTCGATATACTTAATTAGTTCTCACTGTCTTCGAAGGGCCCTTTCCCAGCTTTTCCGTGTAACTTTCCTACCCCGAGGGCCAACATTCTAACGAGGGTAAGTTAAAGTGAAATAAAAAAAGCAAAATCAAACTTCATGTATATTGGCTATTGCCCATACTTTTAACATTGTCCTTATATTTTAAATCTCATACGACAATGTGCTCAGTAAACCCTCATAGAGTAAACTATGCTCTTGAACTGAAATCAAATGTGATATAAACCGACGCAAAATATTTCCGAATGTCTCAGCTATAAATGTTTCAGCCCCATTCACTGATATTCCCCTCTGACGTTGATTGATTACCCAGAAAGAGATATGTTCATTCACTGAATTTGCTTCTTCTTTACCACAATAAAATGAAACAAACATTTTATAAGTTGCCATTGATGATAAACGATCACCAACAGCCCATTAGAATTCTATAGTCTTTCCAGTCAGAAGATTTATTCCGATTCTGGCTACGAGAAAGGAAAATCTTATGACTTCCTCAGAGCGACAGTGCTTCTGGATTTGATTGGTTGAGAGAGAAGCATCGTGATCGGGAGTAAGAGAAATTTCAACTCCATCAGAGCTAGCATCCACAAGAAAACTTAGAAACGACTACGTATACGGATGCTCTACTGGATTGTGATTGGTCGCTCGCCATATGCACGTGTTGTTTTTAAACTTGATGACCACGTTTTGATGTATCAGTACATGATGTACATAGAGAAGTCGATACACGGGACTGTTGCAGCATTGGTTACAATTAGAGTTTAAAGTGCTAAAAAGTGAAAGTTCATTTGAAGAATCGTTATCCTTATCATAGCACTAATTAATTAACGTTTGATGTGTCGGCAATATACTACAGCGAGGATGGGTTTGGAACATTAGATACGAAACAACTTAAGACAACAGACGCCATTTCTTAGTTTGAAAATTTGGAAAGGTGATTCATAAATGATAGTAGTTGACTAAAAGATGTCTACAACTTCTACGGACAAATAACTTATCAAAGGATTCAATTTTCAGTATAAAACGAATATAGGAAAGTACACAAGTTAAGTCACAAGTTAGCAATATTTCCATTGCTATCTGTAGATGAAGGAAACTCGGGTTAGGTAAAACTTTTTAAACTAGGGAAAGAACGTTTTCAAAATTGACGGGTCGGACTGGAATCGCCAAATGCATTTAGATTATAATACGTCATCTGATCTCACAACTGTGCCAGGGACGAGCACGTTGCAGACCCCAATATCGGCGTCAAACAGTATGAACACTTTGTTGCAATCTATGAACTCAGTTGAACCAACATCTCGACACAGCGCTTTCGTTTTGGGCAACCCACCCTTAGCTGCCCTGCATACAATGACGGAAAACAAGGTGCCAAACACCGCCTCTCTTTTAGACAATCCCTTCAGCCAAGCAAATGGGGTAAAGGCAATGAACCAAATGAGTCAAATGACAATGTCCACGTTAGGGACACCCCATAGCATAAGTGACATTCTAAGTAGGAATGCTGCCTTGAATCAGTTACAGCAAATGTCAGGACTTGCAGGCAATATGCCACGATTGAATGCAGCGGCGGCTGCAAATATGTATTTTAATAGTCAGCTTAGTAATCAATCAAGGTTCCCAAAACCCATTGCAGATCTACCTGGTCGCAGTCCAGTCTATTGGCCAGGGGTAATACAAGGTGCCCCATTTGGCCGCTCCTCAAATGAATGTAAGTAGACAGTTGAGTATGATACTCAAAGAGCCTTTGTTGACTAAAATAATATTTAAAAGGTTGAAGCATTTTTATTGATGAAAATAAATTAAATTGCAAAGTACAAAGTATTTCAATATATGCGAATTCAAAATATTTCCAAATATTTTGACGGTCATGAAGACAAAATCAAAGAAATGATGAACGTAACAATTCATTCAGGTTTTTGTTTTATTTTTCTCTGTATTTCAGATTTTATATCTCAAATATCAAAGTCATTATTATTTGTCTATCTGATTTGAAGATCGACATCGATTTTTACTGGAAATCATGCGTTAAACAAAACATCAATATTTTTGTCATATCCTAGACCAAATTCAATATTCAGATAATCATTTGGATTCGAATTACAATTTATAAAATGGAGAGCATAGCTCAAGGTTCCGTTTCAACTAAATTATGACCCAATTTTGGCAATAAATCCGGTGGTATTGGCATATACCAGGTGTGTCACAGTCTAATTATATAACTTTTCCACAATTTGAACGTCGTACAAGACCATTAACAAGGCCACTAGTCTATCAATCTTCGATATTACAAAACAAAACGTCAAACTGTATTCAAATAGTGTATTATAAATAATAGTTAAGTTCTCAGGCTATCGGCCATTTGTCATGTTATATAAATTAAAACTTCTGAATTGGTCAAGGGTTTATATTTAATGTCCTGCTTATCAATTAAGTAAGAAACAGTTTTGGAAAAGTTGAAGTTCTTTGAAGGCACACTAAAAATTTAGGTGTTTAAACTTCAAATGTTCAAAAATATACAATTTTTGTTTTTGATTTAAATAATTTACTCACAATGTACAGATTATTGCATTCCACTTGTTTAAATTATGGTTTTTACGTTTATAGTTTTTATTGTTTATAGGGGGATGTTTTTGTATTTTGTAGGCTTTCACATTTTTTCTGTTGTTATTTGAAGGTGTTTAGAGAATGATTGGGATTCACTTAAATGTACTTAAACAAATTAGTACAATAATGGAAGTGTAATTACTCACTTACTTTAATCTTTACCTGTATTTGAAAGGTGTTTAATGAGCACCACAAAATTATACTGTTCCCATGATTTTATTAAACAGATTGCCGATGGATGTATTATCTTTGCACATACTTCACTATTGACAATAAAACTGTCGTCATAATTCCATATCTAAATTAAATAAAAATCAAACAACTTTGTACAATACGTAGAGATCTAACGAAACACAATTGTCGATAATATGTGGAACTAAATTAAACATACCATAAATTGATAGATGATGATATTAAACTAGCCAAGTCTAGAGTATTTATTTGATATTTTTGTCTCGTAGAGTAGTTCAATACTTCTAAGCGCGTATTAAGAGAAATATGGTAAACCTTTGATGTCATATATATTTTAAATAACTTCATATTATAATATTTATGATGTGGTTGTTCATCTAAAGAGTTGATAAAATAGATATAAGCAGATAAAACGCATATATTTCATATGTGTTTATATTTGCAAATGATCACATGGTTTAAGTATATAAAAAGTGTTAATTAAAATACAATCATGGTCGGGAATTTGATTTTCCGGTTATTTTCATATAAAATCGATTAGTATTGAACCATAACATATTAGTGTAATTAACGAGAATGACAACAACACACGCTAAAAGAAAACAATTTTGGCACTGCTACTATCGAAATGGAAACAGGCGTTTTAGACATATTCGGCTAACTTTTCATTATAGCTATCAAATGGATCTCATGACCAGTCACCATAAGGTTTTCAACGATACAAAATTCATCCATAAAATGTTACTGTACATTAGTGTACTTTTCTGGCGCTTTTGGGCCATCCTTTTGACTACACACAAGTAAAAATACAAATCAAAAGATGCTACATAGGACGACATGGAATCTTACATATTGCATTCAATTACTTCGTGCAAAATATCAGACTTGGAATCTGGAATAAAATCTTAGTTATAATAAACAAAATTGATGCAAATTTAATTGCAAATGATAGTCGACACTTATTGGTAGAACCGTTGCCACATAACTAAGCCAACCTTAGTTGTTATAAATTAAGAGGGCTTATCTTTTTTCAAAGGATATTTGTTTGTCTTTAATAAAATATGTAATCACTAAATACATACAGGACATGTATCTACATGAAACTTATATAATTTATGAAGTTCCTGTCTGTATTATTTATTACTTTTATTCGTACTACTGAGGAATTTAGACAAACAAACTCGAGAATCGGACAACGATTGGGCAGATGAGGAACTTTAAAACTTTTGATTTTTTTCCTGTCATCACGAAGTCAAATATCTGAAAAAGAAAACTCACTTTAAGTTTTAAAAATATTTGAAAATGCTCGGACGTTTTATTTCAAAAAGCATTAAAAGATACTAAGTTCAAATTTCGTTCAGGTATTTTATATTTAGATTTGGATTGAAAACTATTACTTGATTCAATGTTAAAGTAAATTAACGGTGTAAATTATATCAATATTTGAAAATCAGTAGAAAAATAAAACGTTAAATAAGGTTATGCAACAAATATTCATATCAAATTTTTGCACATTGTGTGTGGGTATAACGTAAAATATACTCCAACTATATACAGCCTTTCGCCTAGTGCTTTGTAATCAGTCACATTGCCTGGTGGATGCATTTTCTGATATACTTATGAAATATTAAAGTATGATTATGATATATATTCAGATATTAAAGTGAGTGTACTTCAAGGATCCTTGGAACATTGACCATATTCAGTAGCTTTGATTTATGGGCAATACAATCAAGCTCTCGATAGATCATTCACAGATTTAACTGTATTAATAACTTGATGATTCCTGGGCATAATATTTGCTTACATGTCATTGATAACCTTTGACTATCAATGGAGTCCTCTTCTTCCCTGGTTGGCAAAATATTTAATTAAATTTAATAGCGTCTGACAATTGATTTGTATTATCTTCACAATGTGTGTTAAAGGAAAGCGCTTGCTACAAGGCTGAACCAATTTATCTTTATTTAATTTGATATAAATTAATTCCATGCGTTTGGGCTGCTTGCTTGTCAAGTCTTAGCACAATTAGCAATCATAGTACCATAAAGCAATACCTTATTGCCAATCTGGTTTTCTCAAAGGTGAAGAGCAATAGTAAATGCATTTCAATCAACGTTGGTCATCATCCATTCAATCTCATCATCATCAAAAAGTCTTATTTGATTCAAAGTCGTTATCCTTATTCGGTCTTTTCTGAAGACAATTTTGAAGTATCACGATGAATATTGCAATGTATATGATAGTCTTGCTTCAAAACCCTGGACCCCACCAGTCTCCAGTCTTAGAAAATTGAAGATGACATTTAATGTTACACCAGATACCAATTTAAGGATACGCTTCAATAGTGTTTTAAAGAGAAAATATTCCTAAAAACGACAAGTTAGAGGCACGACATCCTAACCATTTCTACTAAGATAGACTTTCAAATGCAAAGCACAGCTGTTAAATCTGTTCCTCTCATCAGCGTTTAACCAGCTTGAAAAACAGGGAACCTTCAAAATAAACTGCCAAAGTGGACATCAGTTTTCTCTTTAGGAGTCTTTAATGAATAACATCGATGAAAATGATAAAATGTAGAAAAGGGTCAGAATTTGAGTTTGATCGGGTCAGTTTTGGGTGTAAAGTTTTGCCCCATATCATCAAACTTTAGGGGTATAATGCGGGGTGTATTGGGAGGGTGAAAGGGTGGGTTAATACATGGTGCTTTATGATTACTTTCACAGCTTTCTTCTGTACAATATGGTTTGTGTATCTGTATAATTCCATTGTATAATCCCAATGTATCATCAAAATATTACAATATGTATATGACAATATTTTTTATCATTGGTACAACATGCATTTGGTTTAAAACACTTATTATCAGCCATTGAGTCTTGGGTGGTTAGTAGTTCCATTGGGTGTCCGATTAAAATCGTTATTATCTATCATATTCTAATTACTCTATTTTCTCTAAATGTTTAAATATTTCGAGCAATAAAACGTCATTATATCATAAATCAGCAAATGATATACATGTAGATGTACATTTAAAGTTTCAAAGGTGTCGTTATTCCTCTTGGAGATCAGACATTCACACAGAACTAGTTTTTAACGAGCGGTAATTAGTCCGTGTCAGTTCAAATGTTACCAACATGCTTCAATAGGTTTTACAGACAATTTAGAGAAAAGTGAAATAACAGAGATTGATGGTTCTGACATTATGTTGATTTCACGTTACAAGGGTGGTCCGGAGAAAATAACATTGTGGAATGTTACGCAGGGCAAAGAAACCGCATACGTTATATTGAATACGCCCGTAAGCACAAACGACAAGGGGAAATAAGCCCAAAGGATTTAACGCACAAAAACAGTATTGATGTCGAATCCCAATGTCCGCTTAGTCAAAGAACAAGTTTTACAATCTTAAATACAACACCAACTACCCTGCGTGCAGAGTCTAGTTAAACGAAGCTCTCTTTTAAGAAGTGAAGTCAAACGAATGCAAAGGGTAAACACCAACGGATATTGAAGTCAAAATGAAGTCATTAGAAAATACACGGACTGAAAGAATGTGCTGGCCTGTACAGTTTTGCCTTCATTTCGGTCTTTGCATTTGTCTTCTCGGTGATACGAATATCTTCTCGTGGCTTGCTCGTTTGACGTATGTCTATAGATTGATGGGTATTTCGGTCTTTACAATTCGTATTACTATTTGAAAGTAATGGGGTATCTACCCTTGTATAGAATTTGCATTTCTAAAGGAAAGCTTCTTGAGGTAGAAATAATGATAATGGATATAAAGGGGTGATAAGGGATAAGATTCTTAAACATTTTATTTGCATTGTAATTTTGGTGGGTCGACGTTGTGACTTTTCAATTTAAACTCTAGGTTTTTCAAATAATTTCTTTTAAATTCTGTCAAATATA